TTTTCCAAATTTGCTGGCATATTTGGAAAACTCAGCAGTGGCCACAGGATTGGAAAAGGTCAGTTTACATTCCGATCCCAAAGAAGGGCAATGCCAAAGAGTGTTCAAACTACCGCACCATTGCACTCATTTCACATGCTAGCAAAGTTATGCTCAAAATCCTACAAGCTAGACTCCAGCAGTATGTGGACCGAGAACTACCAGAAGTACAGGCAGGATTTCGAAGAGGGAGAGGAACTAGAGATCAAATTGCCAACATACACTGGATCATGGAGAAAGCTAGGGAGTTCCAGAAAAACATCTACTTCTGCTTCATTGACTATGCTAAAGCCTTTGTTGTGTGGATCACAACAAATTGTGGCAAGTTCTTGCAGAGATGGGAGTACCTGACCATCTTATTTGTCTCTTGAGAAACATGTATGCGGGTCAAGAAGCAACAGTTAGAACTGGGCACGGAACCACTGATTGGTTCAAAATTGAGAAAGGAGTTCGGCAAGCCTGTATATTGTCGCCCTGCCTATTTAACTTATATGCAGAGCATATCATGAGAAAGGTGGGCCTAGATGAATCACCAGTTGGAATTAAGATTGCTGGGAGAAATATCAACAACCTCAGATATGCAGATGATACCACTCTCATGGCAGAAAGTGTAGAGGAACTAAAGAGCCTCTTGATGTGGGTGAAGGAGGAGAGCGCAAAAGTTGGCTTGAAACTCAACATTAAGAAAACTAAGATCATGGCATCCAGTCCTCTCACTTCCTGGCAAATAGATGGGGAAGAAATGGAGGTAGTGACAGATTTTATTTTCCTGGGCTCCAAGATCACCGCAGATGGGGACTGCAGCCAAGAAATTAAAAGACGCTCCTGGGGAGGAAAGCTATGGCAAATCTAGACAGCATACTAAAAAGCAGAGACATCACCCTGCCAACAAAAGTGGGTATAGTCAAGGCTATGGTTTTCCCAGTTGCAATGTATGGCTGTGAAAGCTGGACCATAAGGAAGGCTGAGCGCCAAAGGTTTGAGGTCTTTGAATTGTGGTGCTGGAGGAGACTCCTGCGAGTCCCTTGGACCGCAAGGCAATCAAACCAGTCAGTCCTAGAGGAGATCAACCCTGACTGCTCTTTAGAAGGCCAGATACTGAAAATGAACCTCAAATACTTTGGTCACCTAATGAGAAGGAAGGACTCCCTGGAGAAGAGCCTAATGCTGGGAACAATAGATGGCAAAAGAAGAAGGGGACAGCAGAGAATGAGGTGGCTAGATGGAGTCACTGAAGCAGTTGATGTGAGCTTGAGTGGACTCCAGGGGATGGTGGAGGACAGGAAGGCCTGGAGAAATGTTCTCCATGGGGTTGCGATGGGTCGGACACGACTTCGCGACTAACAACAACAACAATGGCTATCAGAAAACGCATAGAGTAGTAGGGCTCCTTCTCTGCTAGGCCTCAGGGCTAAATAAGGCCCTCAGCTGCTGCAGCCTGTTCCTCGTTGCAATGGGCTGAGCAACAGAGGAACGAGAACAACAGAGGAAAGAGAACACAGAGGAAAGAGAACAATGAAACTAAACCCTCAACTTCCCCACCCACCCTGAACTGAGAAGAGAACTCTGGATACTGCAGAGCCTCACCTGGCCAAAGAGGCATCTCCTCCAGCCATGGACTTCGCTAGACCATGAATGAGGTGCCAAATTGCTTAGGCATGTGGTGTCAGGAAACTGCTCAGTGGTGCCTCATGGTGTACAAGTAATCAGCTTGGTTGTTGAACAACCACATAATGGTCATTGGGAATGTCTGAAAAATGAGGAATCCTGGCATAATCAGCTGCAACATGGAAGTGTCCTATCTACTCCCACTTAGCTCTTTCCCTCTGTAGAATTATGGCTTAGTGTGCCAAACGTGGCAAGATTTATAAGCCAACAGCAAGCACTAGTTTAAAGCTGGCTTATGATCCTGGCTTGTTTGGTCACACTTAACCACACTTCCAGACATCAGTGTCATGAGAAACAATCTGTTTAATTTGTTGACCTGCTCAGACCAAGAGAGGAAGTGATGTGGAAGCAAATGGGTTGTGTGCACCAGTATAAAGACTTGGTGATATTCACGTGTCTTGAGCCAGGATTCATGGTTTGTTTAGTGAGTCAGGATTCAGAGCATAGCATTGTATGCAAAGATGACATGCCAGAGAGAGCATGCTCTGGATCTGGACTGTTCCCAGTTTCAGCCCCCACCATGACTAATTAAAAAAGGAGCTCGCTGGGGAGGATCTCCTCTGACCAAGATCTTAGAGAGCTGATCTGCTACTGAGCAGAGATGACTCCAGCCAAGACAGGCAGCTCCCCGTGTTTGTACAGAACTGGGTGTTTGCCTTTGGGAGTGGCTTAAGATGCTGACAGGCTTGTGGGGGACTTTGAAGCATCCTGTAGGAAGTTTAGACAATCCTCTGATTGGATTGTTTATTGTCACATTTATAACTTCCCTTTTCTCCTTTTGTAAGAAACCCAAGGCAGCTTACATGGCCCTTCTCCTCTTCTTCCTTCTGTTTTATCTTCACAACAACCCTGTGAAGTAGAGTAGGCTGAGAGTCAGTGGCCCAAAGTCACCCAGTAAGCTTCATGGCTAAGTGTGGAATAGAACCCAGTTCTCCCAGGACCCCAGTCCAGTGATCTGATGGCTATACCATACTGGCTGTCTTAATGAAAGCATAATAATAGCAAACACATCCCTCCAAATGTGTTGGAATATTCTCGAGGATGATGGGAACAGTAGACATCATCAGGGGATTTAGATCAGAAGCAGAAAACCAGCTAGAGAGGCAGTTGGACCATTGGATGATAATGGAGTTAAAGGAGGTTAAGGAAACTGCAGAAAAACTGAATGAATTCTTTTCATCTGTTTTCACTGCAGGAGATACAGGACAGATACCTGTATTATATATGTATGTGGATTTATATATTTAGGAAGAGAGTCTAAAGAACTAAGCCAAATAGCGGTGGTAAATGATGAAGTTCTCAACCTTATTGAAGAACTGAAAGTTAATAAATCACCAGGCCCAGATGGTATCCATCTGAGAGTTCTTGAGTACAACTTTTTTACAAAGTTATGTAACATGTTCCTAAAATAAGCTTTGGATTGGAAAATGTCCAGTGTAACATCAATTTTTAAAAAGGGAAAGATCTAATTATAGACCAGTTAGCTTAATTCCAGGTAAATGGGCTGAAAGTGTTATTAAAGTCAGAATTGTTAAGGATAGAGAAGGACAAGCCCTGCTGAAAGAGAATTAGCATGGTCTTTGCAAAGGTAAGCCCTATCTTAGTCATTTTTGAGATTTCTTTGAGAATCTTAATAAGCACACTGAGAGAGATGATACTTTTGGCAAAGTCCTTCACTAAAGTCTCCTGAGCACACTTAGTAGTCATGGAATAAAAGGAGAGGCCATTAAAGAATAGAAGGCAGTGAGTGGGCGTAAACAGTAATTTCTCCCAGGGGTGAGCAGTAGGGCTCTGTGGAGATGTGTATTAACACCAATGCTTCTCATCTTACTTAGAAATGATCTGGAATTTGGAATGAACAATGCAGTGGCCAGATTTTTTTATGACACCATAGTACTTAGGGGTGGTTAAAACAAAAGGAATTGTGAGGAACTCCAAAAGAATTTTTCTAAATGGAGAGAATGGGCATCAAAATGGCAAACACAGTTCAGTGTGAGCAAATGTGAGGTACAGTAAATGTTAGGACAGAAAAAAAAATCCCAGCTTCAATTATGGGCTGGTGAGATCTGAGCTAGAAGTGAGTGACCAAGAACACACTCTTGGGGTCGTAGTGGACAGCTAGATGAAAATGTCAATGCAGTACATGGCTACTATGAAAAAGGCAAACTCCATGTTGGGCATAATTAGGAAAGGCTTTGAAAGTAACACGGCAAATGTCATACAGCCCTTATGCAAATTTATGGTGTGACCAAACTTAGAATATTCTGTACTGTTCTGGTCATGGCACCCAAAAAAGAAGAGTTGGAAAAAGTCCACAAACAGGCAACTGAAATGATTGAGGGATTGGAGCCGACATTGTTTAGCTTAGTAAAATAAGGAGCATGACAGAGGTGTGCAGAATGATGCCAGGTGTGAAGAAAGTGGAGAAGGCGGGGGGTTTCTCCCTCTCTCATAATTCTGGAACCCACATGGGTCATCCCATGAAGCTGATTGGTGGGAGATTCAGGACACAAGACAAAGTCCTTTGTGCAGCGCATAGCTCATCTTTGGAGTTCACTTCCGCAAGATGTGGTGATGGCCACTGGCTTGGACAGCTTTAAAAGGGAACTGGGCAAATCCAGGGAGGAGAGGGCCACCAGTGGCAACTAGTCCTGATGGCTCTATGCTACTGCCTCCTGTTTCAGAGGCTGTATGTCTGTGTGCACCAGTTGATGGGGAACCTGGTCAGGAGAGGGCTGTTGTTACCGTGTGGGCAGCTGGTTGGCTACTGTGTGAACATATGCTGGCCTAGGTGGACCCTTGCTCTGGCCCAGGCAGGCCCTCCTTATATCCCCAGGTAGTCTAACCCACCTGGAGGGTATCACAGTGCTGCACTAGTGGCACTATGGGAGCAAGCACTGCCCAGGACACGCAATACGATAACCCTGATGGCTTCTGCTAATCTTCTTCTCCTGCGTTCCTCCAGCCCTCCTAGTGCTCCAGCCCAAGGTCCCAGCATGTCGTCCCGGGTGCTTCTCCGGCAGCAGCTGATGCGGGCGCAGACGCAAGAGCAGGAGCGCCGAGAGCAGCAGCAGGCAGCTCAGTTCACTTCTGCACTGCCTGCACCTTCAACGCCTGCGATTTCCGTGAGCCCACTGGCCCGCCCTGCACCTGCCCAGGTTCCTGTGGAGGTCCTAAAGGTAAGAGAAAGAGAGAAGGAGCAAGCCCTGGGCAAAAATGACCCATGTTGAAACCAGGAACAGGCCACACAGGTTGGCACTGGCTGACTGCATGGCGGAGGCTTCCCTTCCTTCCTCAGCACAGCCAGGCAGCATAAGGGTACACAACAGAGTGGCCGTTTGAAATGGGGCTGGAGCTGTTTGACTAGCAGTCCTTGAAGCCTTTTTCTGCTCTCTGCCTACAGCACCCTTTAAGTCTAGCTGTCCGAGGCCAGTCAGTGCAGTGGCAAACCTGAGGATGGTCCCAATTGTCTTTTGGATCTCCGTTTGGCCTAGGAAGCAAAACTGTGCCCTAATAGATGTGTTACTCTTCACAGAGTGACAGCAATCCCTGCAGCTGCTCCTCAGACGGACAAAGTCTGATGTTAAGCGGAAGACTGGTTAAGTGTGCCATGAGTTTAGCATCCAGACTTACCACTCTGAAGGGCAGCATCCCAACTACAGAGCCATGACAGCAGAGACAAGGTGTTGTAACCTCTGGGGGCTCAGCCTTTTCCCTCCCTCTGGCTTCATCTATGGGACCCAGATTATACAGCAGTTTTAGAGGACCCTTTATTTATTTAAGACTACAGCAGTAAATTAAAAAAGAAAATACAAGAAGTGACAATGAAAGCAAATTAATCAATAAATCTGTGGCTGGAAAGTGCTCTGCCTTCAGCAAATGCATACCTCAAAGTTCTTCAGCAAGAACTGAAAACAAAGTCACATAGGTACAGGCCTGGTTTCACTTGCAAGGCATTCTGTAGGGTGGGAGCTGTCATCTAAGGACCCTACTCTCTGACCCATGTGGAATCATCAGGAGTGTCACTTCAGAATTCCCATAACGGATACCCCAGTGGCATTAGTAGTCTCTACCTGGAGTACCTAAGCTCCCATGGACCTTTTAGGAGGATGCATATTTTTCATCCACCTTGGCTGGCTGGCTGTGCAAAGTGCAAGCTTCTGCACAGAGTACCCTTTGATCGAGTTCCCCACTGCCCAGTTCCTCCTCCTGCTTGTGGCTCTGGAGTCATGCAACCACAGTGATGCAGCCCCCACATACCATGTGAGCCCTCCTGCCATCTATACTCCTTGTTCTGTGCTGTGATTGGCTACTGGGCTGCTTAGAATCCTATCCCCTGCAAGTGGGGTGGGCAGGAGCCTTGGGGATCCCAGTGACCTCCAGCAGGGATGTTCTTCCTTCATCCTTTTCATCCATTTTCTAGCCCTAACTAGTGCAGAGAGCATTAGCAACACCTGAAGGGATGTAGGATTGGCACTAAGCTAGACAGCTGTTGCTCCGCCCCCACCTTGTGCTGGCATTGTCTTGAGGGTGCAGTGAGCGCTCTTTGGCAGCATGAGTGACTTGCAGTCACACAACTTTGTGTTTTGCTTGGCTCAAGGGGTTTTAGTTAGTATTTGTTCTGCTGATGGGACTTCACATGGCACATGATTAGGGTGTTGCTAGTTTTGACATGTTAAGGATTGCTACCAGTGTTTGGGGCTAAGACACTTCTGAGCCTCCAGAACTACTGAGAACGTTGCTGCTCCAAATGTGCCTTCCATTTTTGACATGATTCAAAAATAAAATAATTAGAACTGCTTCTTGGCCATACTGTGTTGGAATCTTACCATGGACATGGCACTCACTCTTTCGCATGAGCGAAAGCTGAATGTCAGCGTTCCAGTTATGCCAGACTCATGATTGTTCTCCCCCCATCCGCACTTAGGTTCAGACCCACCTGGAGAACCCCACAAAGTACCACATCCAGCAAGCGCAGCGGCAGCAAGTCAAGCAGTATCTTTCTACAGCCATGGGCAGCAAGATGGCAACACAAGCTTTAGCCGGGGCCAGCCCTGGGGTGCCAACTCGCTCCCCGCAAGCAGCATCAGCTCCTGAGCCCCAACATGGCTTGGCTCCACAGCAGGGAGCAGCTGGGGGTGCCGGCAGTGCCCCTAATAGCCCCATGGCTATGCTGAATATTGGCTCCAGCTCTGAAAAGGAGGTGAGTGAAACCCTTAACTCCATCTTCCTTGGTGTGCCCTCCCCTCTTTGCTTCTTAAGTATTTTCAGTCATGTTCCCTTATCTCGGGTTTAACCCCTCCCTTCTTTTCCCTTCATCAGATCGATGATGTAATTGATGAGATCATCAGCTTGGAATCCAGCTACAATGATGAAATCCTCAACTATGGTGGCCTACAGGTGCCCAGCACTGTGAGTCATTCTTATGTGGATGCTCAAGGGAAGGGTGATTGTGGGATCTGGAATTGAAAATCAATCAGAACTTTCAGACAAAGCTAATGGGAAGACTTAACCGGGGAAAGGGAAGACTTTTGCTGTTTAATTGCCTCCATTTAAATTGATTACCATTCTATACATATATTACCTTTCTGAAAGATGGATGGAAATGAATAAATTACTTGTTAGAAGGAAAGGCAGTTTAAATTATTTCCATTGTTGTTTTCTAGTATGCTAACATGCTAGAAACAAATTATCTCAAGAGAAGCAAGATAAAGGGTGGTGGCTTTGTTTTCAGCCACTGCTTTAAAAATATTCTTGCTTTGTTTAATTAGCTGCGCAGTGTCTTGTTCTTTTAAATACACCCAAGAAATACAATTAACCGGAACTGTAATTTAGCCTACTAACTTAAGATTGTAAGCTTACTTATTCTTCAGTTAAAACATAGATTGTACTACATAGACTTGTTGCTTTGTGAGACCGATGTGAGAAAACTTAGGGAGGCTTTGTCTGCCAGGGGCCAGAATGACTGCATCCTCTTCTCTCTCTCATCTATCTCACTGTTTTTCCCAGTCTTTGATAGAGCAGTGGGATGCTTATAATGGTTGCAGTCCAGTGGTGAGACACATGGTTTGAATGTGTCTTGGATGCTGTTGTTAGAAGAGAGCTGCTGTGCAGATCAAATCAAATGAGTGCAGTAGATGCCAGATTCATTCTCCAGAAACTACTGAGGGCAGGGAACAGCCTTTGTCTGAGACTCTGCAGAGCTGCTGTCTGTCAGTGTGGACAGCATTAATCTAGAAATAAGGCAGCTTCAGAATCCAGACATATTCCCTCAGGCTGGCAGAACCTCAGGCCCAGGGGCGAATCTAACCCATTGGTGTCCCAGCCTTACCCTCCAGGATTCCCTAGAGCACCCCACCATCACTATTGGGGAGTTTGTCAGCTTTTGTGCGATTCCCCAGCTGTTCTGAAAGAATGAAGTGCCTCCCTTTGGCTTTGTTATGGGCATTAAAAGATTAAACCCGATATATTCCAGCATTTTAGGCCCCATCTTTTTCTAGTAGTCTCACCCACTACAGGAAAGTGCACCCCCAGCGTTTCTACAAAGTGGTTTTGGCCAAAAGAGGTTCTGCTGCACCTGACAGTGACTGGCTGTACTGATTGCAGACATTTCCTGCTTTGAGACATGAGGAGCAGTCACTTGACTTCTGTGGAGAACGGATCTATGGCAGGTGTGAGAGTGCTATTCCCACCGGCATTAGCCAGCATAGCCAGTAACGAGGGATGATGTGGCCAGCAACATGGCAGGAGAGCATCTTTCTCATTCCTTGAGTTAGAAGGGGGATGGGTGATTTACCCTGTAGTTTGTAAGCCCCAGGATCACTCCATTGTACCCTTTCATGCCCCTGGTGTTGTCCCAGAAGGTTTAAATACCAGGCACCATTATGGGAGGTTGTCTTAGAGATTCAGGCCTTGACATGACTTTAAAAATTTGAACCCCTTCTCCCAGCATCTGCAGTTAGCCTCTGTGAATTTAAAATGTGCTGTGATGGAAATGTGAGCACCACAATGATCGCGTTTAGAATTTCAGCAGAGGGGTGTTTCAGATTTGGTAGCAAGACAGAGTGTTTTAACAGCAGGATGGGGCCTTTTTTTGTTTTAATGCTTTAATGTTTTGTATGCACTGGAGTTGGAGAATGGTCACTGTGATGGTCCGCTTGCCCAGACACTGCCTTCTGTCCTGGCCTCCTTATTCTTACACTCCCTCTCCCTGACCCCTTGGGCAAAGGCAGCCTTATCGGTGTGTGTGCACAGACTGAACTCTTTCTCACTGTTCTGTGCAGCTGCCCGTCTCTGGCAACCTCCTGGATGTGTACAGCAACCCGGGGATGATAGAGCCAGCAGTCACCGTCAGCAATTCCTGCCCAGCCGACCTGCCTAATATCAAGAGAGAGATGTCAGGTATGCCTGCAGAAATCCAGTGAATCATGCTGCAACATCCAAAGATGCTACGTAGCAGGGAGTGGTACTGGTAGCAGTTTCTGAACCGTTACTGACCATGTCCTTCTGTCTTGTTGTCATCCCTATTTGCAGAAAATGAAGCCAAAGCATTTCTGAAGGAAAGGCAGAAGAAAGACAACCATAATCTAAGTGAGTGCCCTCCCAGATGAGATGTGGGTGCTTTCACCTTGAGGGCTTGAAGCAGATGCTCCTGTATTGAAGCAAGACAGAAGTATTCAGTTGCCAGACTAGAACTGCAACCCAAATGGTGCCGCCTTGGAAATAAATCCCTTCAGAACACAGAAAGCTGGTTTATTTAATTCATTCATGTATTTCTTTTTACATTTATAAGCTGCCAAACGATCAAATGAGTCCCCTACATGTACAACAATAAGATGGAACCAATCAATTAAAACTTCCATTGAAAATAACCGATAAATAATCGCAGGGCTGCCTAGTCCAGCCAAGCTCAACCTGATGCCCTCTAGTTGTGTCGGGCTGCAACTTCCAAATCTGAGCCAGCATATCAATAAAACAACATATAAACCCCCTGAAACCCATGCCCAGCTAGCCTGGCCTTACCTTTTCTGGCAAGTATTTGTATTTGTTCTCTGGAAGATTAACAGTAAAAACTGAAACCATAATAATTAAAACAGTTGAAAAAATCAAAACAGAACAAAGCAAATCTTAAGAATGCAAGGAATGCATTGCAAGGTCTCATCCAGCAGCATTCTGTGCAAAAGCCTCAGCAGCCAGCAGGTACCTGGTGATCCACCAGAAACGGGACAGTTGTCTGGGGAAAAGGTTATGCCAGGTGCTCTAGACCTTCCAACTCCTGCCTAATCTGGAGACAAGAAAGAAATACAGGCTTGGGAGGCGACAGATGGGTGGTGGCAGCAGCCTTGTCATGACTTCTCACTGGGGAACAGTCCCAGAATGAGTGGCATTGACAATTTATTAGGGAAGAAGCACAGGATTATTTCAGTCAGGGCTGCATTCTGACTGTTCGCATAGCTAAAAATTAAGGACCCCACGTCTTCCTAGCAGGCACCAGCTCTCCCATTCCTAATCAGTTGCAGTTACAGGGCGGTGTCCCTGCCAGCCTCCTTGCATGCCCGGTACACTGTATCCTAAGGACACACCTGTCACATCCCAGCAGTGCTTCTGTTGCTCAGCTTACAGCTGGAGTTGCCTCACCACCTCTGAGGCGATACAGTTGGTGATATGGCTGAGAGTTCTCCTTGATGGGCCTCCATTGTGATCTCACTGATTTGACCATGCTTTGCCCCCTGAATGGGGGACAGTTGCTGCACAGCTCAGCCAAGGCTTGGTGTACAGTTTGGACTTGGGATCCTGTTATTAGATGAAGGGGCAAAATGCAGTCCTAACTGCTTTAGGGTGCAATCTTATGCTTGTTTAGGCAGAAGAAAGTCCTGTGATTCCCAGCATGTTGGTGGGGCATGCTGGGAGTTGGAGAACTTTTTTCTGTCTTAACACACAAAGGATTGTGCCTTCAGAGAGCAGTTACAGGCTTCTGTGCATGGGAGTAAGCTGCATTGGACACAGTTCCTTCTGAGTAAAATGCCTAGGATGGCTCTTGATTTGACCTTTGCTCATTTCAAAAGGATTCTCCCAAGTTTAATTGGGCAGCAGAATTTCCATTTTCTTAGGAATATCTGCAGTTGTTGGGTACATTCTTAAACAGGCAATTCCCTCTTGTTTCTTTTACCCAGAATGTAACACATATATGTATACATCAGCTGGAGGACAGTTGTGTCCCCATTCCTATACAAATGTAGGCAGAATTAAAATTAATATAATTAACATAAACATAAGACTTTGATGAAAGTCCATGTTGACATCCTTCTCTAACCCTGAAGGTCCTTGGACAGTGTGAAGCAAATTGTCTTCTCTCAGCTTAGCTGATCTCCCAGGATTGTTAGAAATGTTGCTGCACTTTCAACTGGAATATGCTTCAGAAATTCTGATAAATATGTTTGGTTAAAGCAAAGAGCAAGGCAGTTTAGCTTGAAATAGCAGAGCTGATAAACTAGCCAGTATCTTTGGTCAGAGGCTGGAGATGTTAAACTGGTTGGACTTGTTGGGTTGATGCAAGAGAAAATGAAGCTGAGGAATGGGTAGCTTTATGTCACACTGACGAGGGGGTGAAACTGCAAGGTTGTTAGGTTTATTGATCTGATAAAGTATGAGGGAGAACAAACTGGCTGGGCCTGCTTGTTGAGGATCTCTCTCTCTCTCTCTCTTAATGTATTTCATGTACATCTAAGACTTCACTATACATTTTATGTGCCACAGCATATTAGCTCATAGTTCAGATGAATTTGAGGCTGTGGGTAACCTCAGATTTTACACAAGCACAAAACAGTGTTAGATTTAATTGAAAAATTGTATACTTTAATGCTATTAATAGAAGCAGAGAAGGTTTGAACGATCACCAACATGTGTCTTTATGGAAAGACATACTACAGCTGGCCATCCACTTCACAGGGATTAGGGGTACAGGACCCCTGTGAAAGCAAAAAACCTGCAAATATCTTTACTGCCCCACACAAACCTTAACTCTTAATAGTGTTGATCACACGTGTCCTGGATTACTTCTCCCCCCCTCTCTCAGACCTTGGTCTGATCCACCAGGGCTCTGCTACTTCATTTATTACATTCTTATGCTCTTAGTCCCTGCTCTCCCTTTCACTCACCAGCGCCTCCTCTTTGCACCAAGGAAATGCTGGAGAGATTTTCCTCTCCAGATGGGCAATGCAGGAAGGCATGCTTCGGGGGCCCCCTTCTCTCCCCTTTTGCTTCCTCTCTCTCTCTCTCTTTCTTGGTGATGATGATTTTCCACAGGGGACTGCAAAACTCCAAAAAAAAATCAATAATTATTGATGGCAAATTCAAAAATAATCAAATCTATGAAAGTTAAACCCACAAAAGTTGAGGCTTAACTGTAGAATGAATAGGATAGTCCAATACTGATCATAATTTTACTATTAGAGAGGACTGACCTAAGACTCCCAACTATAAAATCAACACACAATAGAATATTTGATTATTGACTGCTAATAGTAAAGTCAATGCTAACAGGCAGAAAAAGACATATTTGTAGCACAATTGTTGGTGCATTTATGTGTGTTCATGCAGCCCACTGGGGTCTGAAAAGGCTGGACACCCCAGGATATCCTGTTCATAGAAAGAAATTCCTGGAGGCTTTAGGCAAGTTACTGTGCCTCATCTAATCTTACCTTGGCAGGGTTGTTGCGAGGTGAAATGAGGTGATGTAGTGGCAAAATGCTTTGCTTGCTTCAGAAGTGGTTTTGCCCTGTATGTTGACATTATCTTTATTTCAGATAGCAGCAGCAGCTACACTGTAACCCATCTTGGTGCCTCTTACATGTTTCTACTTCTTTCTTCTTTTGCAGTTGAGCGGCGGCGGCGATTCAATATCAATGACCGAATCAAAGAACTGGGAACCCTCATCCCAAAATCTAATGACCCGTAAGTCTGGCAAGAAAATGAAGGCAGAGTTTAGTCCAAGTGAGACAAAGCCCCTCTTCTTTGGGACAGGGGTGTGGTGAAAGGCCCTGAATGTCCCACTCTCTTCAATCTTGTGGGTACAGTTCATTTGCACACACTTTAACCACTGACGTTTGTTAAATGTGTATTGATTGCTGATAGATTTTGTCCCTTCTTTGGTATCGTTGCTAGCAAGTTAAGCCTGGCCCACCTAGGTCCCAGTCCAGGATTCCTTGGATGGCCATGTGCCCTTCCCATAACCATTTATTTCTTTCCCTGGTTGATTTTTTCTGCGTAGTTCCTGCCGCCATTCTAAATAGCTGATACTCCTTAAGTTTCAACTATGGACAATAAGGGCTTTAAATTAAAACATACAGGTGCTTTGACCCCACACTTTTTGTCTGTATCCCTGCCTGCAGATGGAATGAAGCTCCTCAGAGCATCTCCAAAGTGGAATTTGGCTCTAGGGCTGAAAGAGTGTCTTCACACTGGGTGTACAGAGCATTGAACTATTATTAGCATTTATATATGGTGGCCATACTTATTGGAGATGTTGGGAGTTGTAGTCTAAGTTCTGGGGAGCACAAGACTGGGGGAGCCTTCTGGATGTTGTAGTCACCAGGGTAGTGAAATAGGAACTCTTTACATGTTCTGGGGACAAAACAGGGTATTGGCTATGAGCTCCATACCTTGCTTGTGAGCACTTGGAGGTATCTGGGTGGCTTTTGTTGGAAAATGTTATTTGGCGGGGAAGGAGTTCTGGTTTGTTCTTGCAAGGCAGTTCTTACAAGATACGGCTGGCATGGTGGTTGAACTCCTCTTCCTCCTCTCTCCTCAGGGAGATGCGCTGGAATAAAGGAACCATACTGAAGGCCTCGGTGGATTACATCCGGAAACTGCAGAAGGAACAACAGCGCTCAAAGGAAATGGAGATCCGACAGCGCAAGTTGGAGCAGGCAAATCGTAGCCTGCAGCTAAGAGTGCAGGTAAAAAGTGGGAGCTGGGCTGGAAAGGACAGGGTGGGAAAGGGGCTGTTCAGGCTGCTTGCTGGGTCTCACCCGCCTGGCTCTGATTTCTTCCCAAGGAGTTGGAGCTCCAGGTCCAGATGCATGGGCTGCCTTTGACTTCCGCCCAAGGGCTGCTGACACAGTCTTTGGGAGGTGACCCAACTCCCTCATTTGCGGACTCACTGGACCTGCCCTTCTCAGCCGAGGACCTGGGGCTGGATCTTGCACTGGGATCAGACGGAGGACCGCTTCAGGATGTGCTCATGGACGATGGGACCACCTTATCTCCGCTTGGTGCCTCTGATCCGCTACTCTCCTCTGTCTCCCCTGGAGCTTCCAAGGGCAGCAGCCGCCGTTCCAGTTTCAGCATGGAGGATGATTTGTGATGGCAGCACTTGGACTTTGGTGATGGGAAAGGAGCTGGATAAGGTCTTGCCTAACACTCCTGGACCCACCCCTGCTCAGACTTTTCCTCTTATCCTGATCCAGCTCGCATCTCAGAGGCTCCTCCCCTCTGCTGCTACAGGCCATGTCCCTTCAGAAGCTCCGCCTCTTTTCCCAACATTTCATATTCTGAAAGAGCTTACCTCTGCCCCTTCAACAGGGGGAAAGACATGGTAGACGTACTCTCCTTCCATGGAAAAGTCAGCAAGCAGAGCCATTTAGTACCAAAATCCTCTCTAGAAGCAGTCAAAATAGGACTACCTTGTCACAAAGTGAGGGTCCCTCAACCTTTTGCACCCACTCTAGGTTCAGAAACCCTGGGAATAGTAACTGTGCATCTCTCAAAGCCTGCCCTGTTTTAAGCATTAGTAGGGCATTTCTTTAACACTCGCTGAGGAGTGTTAAACCATAGATCTCTGCTCATTTTCTCCAACTTTTGCTTTTTATCCTACAGTCCTTGCTGTGTATATAATTTTGGAGAATTGAGGAGCAAGAAGAGGTGAAGTGGCTGCCTTTTGGAACACTTTTCATAGTTCAGAGATACCACTTACTTGTTTCTGTCCATATTCTTTTTTAAAAATGAGTTTTGTTTTATAAAGATGTTGGACATTTTTATGTGTAAATCTTGCCTCTTTACTTTTTGGTTGGAGGATTCAAGATTTCACCAAACTGCCACTTAAGATTTTGGTTTTTTGTTTTGCTCCTTCCTTCAGCTTGGACTTGACTGAAAGGAAATGTGACTTTGGCCATCAAGAAATCAGAACAAAGCAGATGGCAGGGGAAGGAAAGGGAGAGAGAGCAGTAGAGGAATAATTATTTTGTGCTTGTTCATATGATCACTTAAGAATAATGACTGCGCGAATAGGATTTAATAACCACCTCCCTTGTTGTGTGTGATTTTCTAAAACAAATGACGCTATAATCAATGTTTGTTTTTAAAAGGATTTTTTGCATACCAAATGGACATTAGGAGAAAAGCAGAGCAAATGAGACTGTACGGTTTATTAACTCCACTAGTATTCTGAAAATAATGGAAGCAGTCTTCTGTATGACTTGCTTTTTGTCAGGTGTGCAAAGGTTTATAATAGCTGCAGAGACAATCATTTGGGTTCCAGCTTACATTCTGTGTATGCAATAGGAAGTGGTCTCCTTGGAGGAGTTGTTTCAAAAGATCAGGGGAAAACATGAACCCTTGAGAGCATGGGTGAGCAACCTCCAGCCGTGGGCTTAAGCTGGCCTGCAGAGGCTGTCCATTTGGCTTGCTGAGGGGCTTTAGAAGCCCTGTGTTGCCAAATGAGAAAGGTTGTCCTTCAGGAAATGCAACCATGACTAGGAGAAGAGCTGTGTTAGAGGGGATCTGAAGTGCTTCTTTAAGCTGCTGAAGGGCCTGCTGATGTAGGTTTGTGATGGGGTGGGGGAAGTGTCATGCATATCTGGTAAGCTTCTGAGCTGAGAGCTTCTTGAGCAAGAGGTGAGAAGATGGGAGTGGCCAAGATCAATGGAAACTAGACTCCACAGCAGTGTTTCAACGTGCCTCATGGGTAAAAAGAAAGCATATAGAGAGCAGAGCAAGGCAAGTGGTTGCTGATCTGAAAGGTGTAGAATTTTGCAAAGGATTGGCAAGGATTGTAGCATTCGGGGGATGAAAGAGGGAGAGCTGTAGCTTCATGGAAGGGACTAGTTTTCCTGTTGTGGATTCTTCACCCTCAGTGACTCAGATGCCATCTTCTGTCCTTTTACTTTGTATGTTTAAACATTCCCACTACCAATAATACTAGAAGCTTCTAAACAAATAAACCAGCAACAACCATTTTTATAGCCATTGGAGCACCTATTTCCTCATTGTGTCTTGCTAAGAATTTAGTCATGTAGGTCAAGGGGTGCAGAACCTCCTTTGGCCCAGGGGCTGAATTCCATTTCAGAGAAGTGTACCACTGCTTCCCAGTAGCAGATGATGTTGCAGACAAAAGAGGCAGGGTGAAAATACACTTGAGTCTAAAGCTCCTATTAACAGAACTAGTTAAGCACTAGGAGAGGCACTTCAGTATTTTAGCATGGGAAACTCTTGGTGCTTGAGGGAAGGGTGGGGCCTTCTGGGGATCCTTGGATTTGTCCCACTTCACAGGGAATGGGCCACTGGAAGAAAGCTAATAGAGGTTCGCAGTCATGTATAAATCCCAGTGAGGGGTAACATCACAGGGCAAGATCTCTCTCATACCACTTGGCATTCTATGTTTCCATCTTCCTGATATTAGAGTTGAAGTTCAAATGGTACTGGCCCTTCCCAAGAGAGATATTTCTTAGTCAGTAGTCATGAATGCAGCTGTCATGTGGCAAATCTGAAAGAGTGCAATCTCATGCATGTTTAGATGGAGAAAAGTCCTACAACTTCTAGCATGCCCCAGCCTGCCTTGGGCATAGGTGTGAGTTGTAGGATTCTTTTTCTGTTTAAATATGCACTCTAGCAGATTGTGCTAATTTGGGATTAACGTTTGCCATTCAATGCATGAAGCCATTATCCTCTGCTGTAATTTGGAGGACCAACATAAAAATCACTTTGATACAGTGGAAGTAGAAAGTAGAAGATAAATTAGTTGAGGTGCAGCACAGGATATAATCCAAAGGTGAGTTACTTTTGGGTATGTTGTTATCCACCCCTTCTCTGTTTACTAAGATCTAGCAGCTGAATGCTTGTTAGAGAGAACACCTGGCCCCCAAATTTTACAGCCAAAAGAGAAATGGGGAGGGAATGTAAACCAAAGATACAGGACTTGCTGGTGAACTCCTATGAGAATAAGGCAGCAACTGACCAGGTATATAGACGATCCAGGTAGCTTGTACAAAGTGCCAAATGAGAAGCTCTGGATCCAGTCACTATAAGGCATGCAAACTAGTTTTACACATGCCCGGTGGGATGTTCATCCAGCTGAATCCAATGCAACTTATTCCTCAGTAAACATATTTGGGAAAGTAACTTCACAACACAATGTTATATATATCGGAAGTCCCATTAACTTAAATCAGTGGGCCACATGTACTCTCTTCTGCAGATGGGCATAGCTATGCACAGATGCACTTTTTTTTTGCGGAGCTTTCTGCTTTGCTCTACCCCACTCCTAGCACCTAACAGAGAGGGAAAGAGGTTTATAGCTTTTGTATCGCCTGAAGGGTGATATAGAAATGTAATAAATCATAATAATATCTTGGGGCAGAGCTTTGCCTGCAGGAGGTCCCCAATTCCAAAACTTATTCCTGAAACAATGGAGAGCCGTTGCCTGTCAGTGATGATAATACTGGGTTAGAAAGACCAGCGATCTGGCTCGGTTTGAGGCAGCTTCCTTCAAAGTACCGGGCACCTGACGATCCGAGTGCACCGTGAGCAATTCCTCGGCAAGATATGATGCACCACCGGCCAAGGAGATACCGGAAGCTCCTCTGCCATTGGGTGTGACTGAGTCTCTGGTGCTCACTTCCGTGTTGTGGAGTTAAGGTTTTGGTAATATCTGCAGCAGACAGCGAACTGGGGGTTGGGTGGGTCTTTCATACACCAATACTTCACAGCAGCAGATGAATAGAACATGATATCATTCTGGTGGGAGGTAATTTCTTCCACCGTAAGAAGGACGTGTGCTTTTTCGTTTTTTACATTTTCTCGATTTAAACAATTTAAGAATGAAATCATTCTGCATACATTTTCATTGCAAATTCTGTGTCTCTTGCTTCCAGTCTGGATCTTGAATTTTAATATAACCAATACAAAGATAAGCGATTATTGTTGCCATCACTCGGACCTACGTACGTATAAAATGCTCAGCCTGCTAGAGCTGGGGCAAACCATTGGTGAAGCGCCAGAAGTTGTGGCCTGTAATTCCCATCGGCCCTAGCCAGCGTCGCTAGTGGAGGAGATACATAGGAGTTTTAAGGAAAACAACAGGGAGGCCACATGTTGTTCATCGCTAGGTAAAGAATGACGAACAGCGTGACTATAAATCTACAAGCCGCCATTGGACGCGTTTTCTCCGTGGAAGCAGAACAGCGTCGCTCGATCGTCTTGTCTCTCCGTGGAGAAAAAACCAGATTTTGCATGGAAAATCAGGTCGTTTTTAGGGAGAAGTAACAATAAAAGCTGATGGTGTGTGACCCCAACTTTATCGTCTGTTTTTCAAATCCTCTCTTTTCACCAATATCTGCATAAGCTACAATATCCGCTACAGTGATTTCCCTGCAATACCTGGGGGACCGCTCCGCTATGCGTCTCTATGACCCCTTGCGTACTTAGCCGCAGGGAAAGAGCCAAAGTGGCGACTTTCCTAGAAGGGCAACAGGCCTCTGCCTACGGGGGCTTCTCCGCTGAAAGACGAGACTCCTTACGATTCCATAATGTACACTGGCGTGCTTCCCCACCTTCCCGCTTAGTCATCCAGAGGTTTTCTTCTCACTTCCGGTTTCGAAATGTCACTCTTCCTCTCTATGTTTTCCATTTCCGGCCTCAAAGAGTCATTCCCCCGGTTCCGTAATTTCTCGCTCTTCCTAAGTACCGCCCTTTCACCGCTCTTTCTGGTGGAGGGGGGAGAGAGACATTGAATGGAACCCCCGTCCTCTTTTCTCTCCGCCTAGCTTCCTCTCTATGATCTTTTCTTAAAGTCACCCCCGCCTCCAGCTCTAGACGGGGGCCGGGTTTTTTACCCTCCCCCTTTCTCCCTCCGACGTTCGACTTCTTTCCCGCCCCCGCCCCTTTCTCTTTTGGGTCGAACCAAGCAGGATCCGAACCGGGGGGGCGGAGGGGGAGGGAAGATGGCGCAGGCCTTGTCCGAAGAGGAGTTCGAGCGCATGCAGGTGCGTGTGACTGCCTAGCTTGGCATGCGGTGGGGGACGCCGGGAGGTGCGTCAGGAGGAGGGCTGGGGAAGGGGCCGAGGTGGGGTCCAGTGGGAAGAGGATTTGGGGTGGGGGACTCAATTCACTAGCCTCCCTCAACCCGGCTCCCTCCAGATGTGTTGGACTACAACTCCCATTACCCTCAGGGGGTGTTAGGGGCCAGTTCACATGTGTTACACAGGGGCAAACATGGGTTTGCATTCAGCAAAGCGTTGCAGCCAATCGCGGCTCCTCGAAAAGTTCACCTGTATGCTGCATGTGTGTTTGCTGCTTTTGTGTTTTATGCTTGCAGATGCCTAAGGTAGGTTGCTGAATTAGTATTTTGCTAA